TGCCAAACATTGCTGGCACGCGAAATCCTCTCTTGTAATCTTCCATTTACAATTTTTTTTCTTAATATCGACTTTTTTATTTTTCAGATAAATTCAGTGGAGGTGCATCTTAGATAAATAAATAATCTTACATAACAAGTTATCTTAAAGACCACAGACATGGATTGATGAGAGAGGGGAAGAGCAATTTCAATAGTGTTGAAAACGAACTACTAGGACTTGGATTGAGTCAGAGATTTTGCTGGTTTTGGCACGCATTCACAAAAAGGTTGCCCACCCCTGCTCTAGGTTATTAAATTTGGTGGCATGAAGTCTTTCATAGTATGATCTTTTGTATATCTGTGATGTCTGTGGTAACTTCTCTCATTTCTGATTTTGTTTATATGGGTCTTTCCCTTTTTTCCTTAGGGAGTCTAGCCAGAGGTTTGTCAATTTTATTGGTCTTTTCAAAGAACCAGCTTTTTATTTATTTATTTTTGTATATCTTTTTGTTTTCTATTTCATTTAATTCTGTTCTAATTTTTATTATTTCCTTTCTTCTGCTAACTTTGGGTTGCTTTAGTTCTTCTTTTGTTAGTATTTTAAGATGTGACATTAGTTTACTTACTTGGGTTTTCTCTTGTTTCTTGAGATAGGCCTGTAATGATATAAGCTCTTATTACTTATATAAGCTTTCACTGCATCCCAGAGTTTTTGATAGGGTGTTATCATTCTCATTTGTCTCCATATATCTTTTGATCTCACCTTTAATTTCTTCTTTGACACAGTCATTTTTTAGTAGTATGTTGTTTAATCCTCACATATTTGCAGGTTTCTTTACTTACTTTTTGCAGGTGATTTTTAATTTCAAGGTCAGAAAATATAATTGGTATGCCCTGACCGGTTTGGCTCAGTGGCTAGAGCGTCAGCCTTCGGACTGAGGGGTCCTGTGTTCGGTTCCGGTCAGGGGCATGCACCTTGGTTGCGGGCACATCCCCAGTGGGAGGTGTGCAGGAGGCAGCTGATAGATGTTTCTCTCTCATTGATATTTCTAACTTTCTATCCCTCTCCCTTCCTCTCTGTAAAAAATCAATAAAATTTATATTTTTTAAAAAGAAAATATAATTGGTATAATTTCGATCTTTTAAAATTTGTTGATACTTGTTCTGTAACCCAATATATGGTCTATCCTTAAGAATGTTCCATATACGCTGGAGAAGAATGTATAGTCTGATATTCTGGGATGAAATGTTCTGTAAATGTCAATTATATCCATTTGGTCTAGTGTTTCATTTAAGGCCAATATTTCTTTATTGATTTTTTTTGTTTGATCTGTCTAGAGCTGTCAATGGAGAATTACGGTCTCCAACTATAATTTATTTTGACCTGTTTCTCCCTTTAGTTCTATAAGTAGCTGTTTAATATATTTCAGTGCTCCCTGATTGGGTGCATATATACTAAGAACTGTTAAGTTTTCTTGATGTAGTGTTCCCTTTATCATTATAAAGTGTTCATCTTTGTGTCTTATTTTCTTGAAATCTGTTTTGTCATATATAAGTATGGCTACACCTGCTTTTTTTGTGTGGATTTTTTTTTGTTTGGAGATTCATTTTCCACCCCTTTACTTTGAATCTACCTTAGTCTTTGCTGTTTAGATATGTCTCTTGTAGGCAGCATATGGTTGGGTTTTGTTTTTTTTTTCATCCACTCTGCTACTCTGTGCCTCTTTACTGGTGAATTTAGGCCATTTACATTTAGGGTAATTATTGATGTATGAGGATTTCCTATAGCCATTTTATCTTTTGTTTTCTGGTAACTTTGTGCCACCATTGGTTCCTTTCCATTATGCTTCTGTCTGTTTGGTGGATTCCATATATCTTTCCTCTTTTTTAAGCAATATGTCCCATTTTGGGGACCTTTGTGTGTGGTTGCCATTAGGTTTATAAAGAGTGAAGTTGCATGTATGCCACAGTTTTTTTCCCTTTTGAGTGCACCTGATCTTCATCTTCCTTTGCCAGTTCATACCTTTCCCCCTTCCCCTTGTATGTTTTTGTTGTCACAAATTATTCCTATTTATGCTGCAAGTTTTTTGGTGACCCTACTCATAGTGGTGTGACTTTATATCCTTTGTTTCAGGTAGAATAACTCCCTTGAGTATTCCCTGCATTGGAGGTTTTCTACAATAAAATGCCTCAACTTCTATACGTCTAGGAATATTCTTATTTCTCCTTCATATTTAAAGGATAAGTTTGCTGGATACATGCATGGTTGGTAGTTTCTCGTTTTTAGACGTTTGAATATTTGGTTCCAGTCTACGGCCATACCACCCTGAACGCGCCCGATCTCGTCTGAATATTTGGTTCCACTCTCTCTGGCTTGTAGAGTTTCTGCTGAGAAGTTGGGTGACATTCTGATGGGTTTTCCTTTGTACGTCACTTCCTTCTTTTTCCTGGATGCTTTGAGGACTTTTTCTTTGTCATTAATTTTTGACATCTTCATTACCAAGTTCCTTGGAGAGGGCCTCTTTGGATTGAGGTAAGTAGGTGCTCTGTTTGCTTCTTGGATTCAAGGATTTAGTTCTTTCCATTGATTTCGGAAGTTCTCACATACTAGTTGTTTGAATAGACTCTCCATTCCATACTCCCACTCTTCTTCCTCCACTATGCCAGTGATTCTGACATTACTTTTTTTGATGGAATCGGAGAGGTCTCATAGAGCTCTTTCACATTTCTTTATTCTCAGGTTTCTCTCTTCTTCCCTCTGTATCCTTTCTTGATTCCTATCTTCAATATCACTAATTTCCCCCCTCTAATTGGTTGGTTCTGTTTTCTATGCTCAACAACTCACTCTTAAGTTCTTTAAATGCTTCATTTCCACGATTTTTGATCGATTCTTTTTTAAAATGTCAATTTTCTTGCAAAAATACTTTTTGTTCATTAATTTGTTTTCTTAATGCACTGAAATGCCTGTCAGCATTTTATCGCATCTCATTGAGTATTTTCAGAACTGCAATCTTGAAATTTCTGTCATTCATATCACGTAATTCCATGTGCTCCAGCCTATTTTCTGGGGATTTTTCATTTTCTTTCTGGTCATCATCTTAACCATGGTTATTTATGATTTTCACTGTTTTTTGTTTTCCCATTTATCTCTGAAATGGTCTTTCTACTCTGTTCCAGTAGATGGCATTGATTCACAAGATTTTTACCTTTGTGGCCTCACAGTTTTGAGCCTCCATGGCTTACGTAGGGCTATACAGCCTTTGCTGCTTGGGGTGAGGTTTGTTTTTCCCTCATTGTAATGTGACCCCTGCCCTCCACGGATCCAGCCCAAGCACCCCTCCTGGAGCTCAGTCACAGAGGGAAACTTTCTACTGCAACAGCTCTGAGCCTACAGATAATACACTCCTGGAGCCAACTCTAAGGGCAACAGGAAGTGAGTTTTGGGAGTCTAATTAATGGCAGGGCTCTGTGATTTACTTTCTTTGTCTGAAAGACAACCGCCAGGCCCAGCAGTGGGGAGCAGCTCTGTAGGGTGGGCGTCTGCTGACCCACTTTTTGCTCCTGCCACTCAAGCATGCGATTCAGACCTTATTCACAGTGCGCCCATGGTTCAGACCCTGCCCTCTCTCATTGCCTGTGTACATATGACCACACAACTCTGCAACTCCAACAGACACTGTATGGGACATTAAAATAACTGTATAACTAGTGGCCAAAAGTTTTTCAAATTTTATGACAACAATAAACCTATACATTCAAAGCTCAACAGACCCAAAGGACAAGAATAAAACTACTAACAAGAAACATCATTATTAAATTGCATAAAATCACTGCTAAATAAACACCTTAAAATCTTCCAGGAAAAACTGGAAACAATGCCTGTGAATAGACTGTAGAACAACATATTTAACCTAATATCCTATATGAGTGACAATATCTTTTAAAAGCAAAAATAAAATAAAGGCTCTTTTAGACATAGAAAATACGAAGGAATTAATCACTTAGCATACCCGAATTAAAAAGAAAAAATGTCAAAGATACTCTGTGAGGCAGAAGGAAAATTATACCAGATGGAAATCTAGATATAAACAAAGAAATGGAGAACACTGTAATTATTAAGCACACTGGTAATTATATACCACATTTTCCTCAACTTCCTTAAAATATAAATGGAAAATCAAGAACACTGGTAACAAAATATTGCAGGTTTTATAATATGTGTTTAAGTAAAATGTATGACAATAACAGTCTGAGTATAAAAATAAAAGTATAACTGACATAAGGTTCTTATACTATATGTGAAATGGTTCCATTTGAAGGAAGACTGTGATAAGTCAGAGTTGTATAATGTATCAAAGACAAACCAGTTGAATACCAAAACAAAATTATATAGAAAGGGAGATATAATGGAATCTCAGGAATATAATCAGTAATTCAAGAGAAGGCAAGAAAGAGAAAGAAAACAAAGAGTATATGGTAGAATTAGAAATCAAATAAATGCTAAATGGAAACCATACCAAAAATATAAATAATCACATTAACTGTAAATGACCTGAAATACAAAATAGTATGAAATGTAACCTGTAACTGAAAAATTAAAAATGTAAATGGCCTGAACTCCTCAATTAAAAAGCAGCAAAAATCACATTGAATAAAGAGCATGCACTAACCAAATGTTTATATATGTATATAAAAGTGTCCTTCAATTATAGACACAAATAGGTAAATAGCAAACGAATGGGGAAAATATAACAGGCAAACATGAGAAGCAGAGTAACCAGTCTCTCCTATGGACCCTGGCACCAGGGCTGCCCATGGACCTTAGCACCTTGCCCAACCATATGCAGAGTCTGGCACCAGGACTACCTGCCTATGGATGCAAGTACCTGGCCCACACATAGAGCCTACTAGTTAGCTCATTTATGGATGCTGCCATCTGGCCTGCCCATGGTCCCCTTCAATTAACCTGCCCAGGACCTCTGGGCAGGGATAATAAAGGATTTGCCTTTGAAATAATACCTTGTGCAAATGTTTGATCTGGATACTTGCCACCAAACCAGTTGGTTCAGCCTCAAAATATTTGCTTTGAGTTCTTCCATAGCCTTTCATGTCTTCCTCTTTTCTTCTAATTCTTGGAGGGCCATACCAGTATGAACGCTACAAAGAAAGCCAAAATGTAATTACCAAAACATGCATTAAGAAATGAAACACTCCATTTGAACAGACCTATACATGTAACGCACATGAATCAGTGATCAAAACCTCCCTACAAAGAAAAGTTGAGCAGATGGCTTCACTGGTGAACTCTGCCAAACATTTAAACAAGATTAACAACAATTCTTCCCCAAGTCTTCCAAAAAGTGTAAGAGGAGGAAACATTTTCTCACTCATTCTGTGAGCTCAGCATTACTCTGACACCAAAGCCAGGCAAAGTTATCATGAAGAAAGAAACTAGAGACCAATATCCCTTATCAATACAGATGAAAAAAATCTTCAACCAAATGCTAGCAAACTGAATCCCATAGCATAGCAAAATGATTATACATGATGATCAAGGGGGAATTATCCCAGGAATGCAGGCTCAACATATGAAAACCAATCAATGCAATACATTGCATTAATTGAACAAATGGAATAAACCATATAAGTATGGGAGATAGCAACATCAATGGGTTTGACAAAGGGTTTCATGATTAAAGACACTCAGGAAACTAGAAATAGAAGAGGACTTTCTCAAATGACAAGGGCATATGTGAAAAACCCAAATCTAGTATCATACCAAATGGTGAAAGACTGAAAAGTTTTTCTTTAAAATCAGGAACAAGCTAAGGATGTCTCTTTTCATTTCTGGTATTTATTGCTACACTAGTTTTAGCAATGAGGTAAGAAAAAGAAATAAAGGGCATCCAAATTGGAAAGGAACAAGTAAAAGTATCAGTATTTAAAAATGGCATAATACATATATTTTCACACATAGAAAAAGCCCAAAGAATCAGCATTACACATACTACTAGAGCTAATAAACAAATTCAGCAAAGATACAGGATACAAGATTAACATGCAAAAATCAATTGTGTTTTTATATACCATCAATGAACAATCAAAAAAAGAATATTAACAATTTCATTGCATCTGACAGAGTAAAATAGGAATAAAGTTAACCAAAGAAATAAAAGACTCACTACAAAACCTTGGTTAAAGAATTCAAAGACATATAAATAGAAAGTTCATGCCCTAGTTGGTTTGGCTCAGTGAATAGAGCGTCGGCCTGTGGACTGAAGGGTCCCAGGTTCGATTCCCACTCAGGGCACATGCCCATGTTGTGGGCTCCATCCTCAGTAGGGGGCCTGCAGGATTCTCTTTCATCATTGATGTTTCTATCTCCCTTTCCCTTCCCTTCCCTTCTCTAAAATTAATAAAAATATATCTTAAAAAAGTTCATGAATTGAAATATAATATTTTTCATATGGCAATAATATTTAAGGTAATCAACAGACTCGTTATAATATTCATGAAAATTCCAGTGGCCATTTTTGCAGAAATAAAAAGCAAATCCTCAAGTTCATATGGAACTATAAGGGCCCTCTAATAGTCAAAACAATCTTAAAAAAGAAGAGAAAGGTTGGAGGACTCATATTTCAGATTTCAAAACTTATTATAAAACTACAGTAATCGGAACAATATTGTGCTGGCTTAAATATATATATGGAATGAAATTGTGGGTTGGAAAATAAACCCATACATCTATGGCCAAATGATTTTTATCAAGAGTCCAATGGGGAAAGCTATGTTTTTCTAAGAGTGGTGCTGGAACAACCAAATATTCACATGCAAAAGAATGAAATTGGATCCCTACCTCACAATATATAAAAATTAACTCAAAATTGATCCAGGAATTAAATATAAAATACTGAACCACCACACTGTTAGAAGGAAACATATGGGTAAATGTTGGATTTGATAATGACTCTTTAAATAAGATACCAATTTCACAAGCAACAAAAGGAAAACTAATTGGAGTTAAGAAAAATTAAAACATTTTGAAAGGACACATCAAAAGAATGAAAAAAAAAAACAGTCCATAGAATGGAAGAAAATATTAATAAACCATACTTCTGATAAGGATCTAGTGTTCAGAATACATAAAAAGACAACCCAATTAAAAATGCACACAGGACTAAATAGACATTTATCTAAAGAATATTTACAAGTATATGTAAAGGTCTCAGCATCATTAGTCATCAGGGTAATGTAAATCAAAACCCAAGATACAACTTTATAACCATAAGAATCTACACTAATAAAAGACAAACATGCAAATTGACCATACCTGTGCTGTACCTTAAGCCACGACCACCAGCCAATCAGAGTGACTATATGTAAATTAACCCAACCAAGACAGCGGCCGGCAGCCACGGAGCTGGAGCAAGCAGGAGGCTTGGTTGCCCCAATGATGGAGGAAGCCAAGCTTCCCGCCTGCCGTGGCGGCTCTGAGCTCCACTCAAAGCAACAAAGTTTCAATTATAGAAGATAAATAAACCCCAGGTACCTGCTTTCAGCCAGCTATGGCCACTGAGCTGGAGCGAGCAGGAGGCGTGGGTTGCGCCTGGTGATGGAGGAAGCCAAGCTACCCTCTCATCCACCCTGGCCGGCTCTAAGCTCCTCTCAAGGCTACAAAGTTTCAATTATAGAAGCTAAATAAATCTCAGAATAAAAAAAGAAAAAGAAAAAAAGGAGAGGCTGGGAGCTCCCGTCGAAGGGGGCCTTGGCCAGCCCAAAAATGGCCCTCAGCCCCTCTCCCAGACTGGCCAGGCACCCCAGTGGGGACCCCCCACCGTAAAGGGGGTGTGGCCAGCTGAAAACAGCCATTAGTCCCTCACCCAGGCTGGCCAAACTTCCATGGAGTGAGGGTCTCCACTGAGGGAGTGGCATGACCAGCCTGCAATCAGCCATCAGCCCCTCACCCAGGCTGGCCAGGCACCCCAGTGGGGACCCCCCACCGTAAAGGGGGTGTGGCCAGCTGCAAACAGCCATCAGCCCCTCCCCCAGGCTGGCCAGGCACCCCAGTGGGACCCCCACCCTGATCTGGGACACCCTTCAGGGCAAACCAGCCGGCCCCCACCCGTGCACCAGGCCACTATCCTATATAATAAAAGGGTAATATGCAGATTGACCCTAAAAGCCAAACGACTGGGAATGACTGGTCACTATGACACACACTGACCACCAGGGCCCAGACGCTCAATGCCGGAGCTGCCGCCTGGTGGTCAGTGTGCTCACACAGGGGGAGCTCTGCTCAGCCACAAGCCAGGCTGATGGCTGCCAGTACAGTGGCGGTGTGGGGAGACTCTCCCGCCTCCTCAGCAGTGCTAAGGATGTCCAACTGCGGCTTAGGCCTGCTCCCCACTGGCAAGTGGACATCCCCCGAGGGCTCCCGGGCTGCCAGAGGGATGTCTGACTGCCAGCTTAGGCCCAACTCCCCGAGCCTGAGCCAGCATGTGGTCATCCCCTGAGTGGTCCCAGACTGCGAGAGGGCACAGGCCAGGCTGAGGGACGCCCCCGAGTGCACAAATTTTTGTGCACTGGGCCTCTAGTGGTTACAATAAAAGAAAAAAGGAGAATAACAAGTGTTTATTAGGATGTTTAGAAATTAGAACCCTGTATATTGCTTATAGGAATGTAAAATGGTGCAGACACTGTGGAAAACAGTTTTGTGGTTCTTGAAAAATGAAACAGAATTAGCATATGAATGAGATATTCTACCTTAGGTATATTACCCAAAGAATTGAAATAAGTATACAAACTAATACTTGTATTGAAATATTTATAGCATAGCTATTCAAATTTAGCCAAAAGATGTCCTATATGTTCAACTACAGATGAACAGATATAGGAGTTGTTTTATATATATATATACAATGAAGTGTTATTCAGCAATCTAAAATAATAACGTACTGATACATACTGTAACATGGATAAAACTAAAAAAAAATTAGGCTCAGTTAAAGAAAATAGACATAAATGGTCACATATGGTATGATTCCATTTATATGAAACTAGAGGCCTGGTGCACGAAATTTGTGCACAGGTAGGGTCACTAGGCCTGGCTGGTGATCAGGGCTGATCTGTGGGGTGACCGGCAATGCAATCGGGGGGCCTCCAGCCTGGCACTACCTGCTCACTGGCCCTGCCTCCCACCGTCACTGCTGGTCGCCACCCTCTGCAGGGTGACCGGCAGGGCAACCAGGGGGCACTTCCGCTGGCACCCACCTTGGCTGGCCTGTGCCCTGTGGGCTGGGGCAGCTCCTGCATTGAGTGTCTGCCCCCTGGTGGTCAGTGCACATCATAGCGACCGGTCATTTCACCATTCAGTCAATTTGCATATTAGGCTTTTATTATATGGGACTAGAGGCCCGGTGCACAAAAATTTGTGCACTCAAAGGGCGGGGGGTCCCTCAGCCTGGCCTGTGCCTTCTCGCAGTCTGGGACACCTCGGGAGATAACAACCTGCTGGCTTAGGCCTGCTCCCGGGTGGCAGAGGGCAGGCCCAATCCCTAGGTGCAGTCCCGGGTAGGGCTCAGAGCAGGGCTGAGTGGGGAGTTGGGTTGCCTCCCCTGGCATGCACAGAGCAGGGTGGAGCGGGAGGTTGTGATGCCACCCTCACTCACGCACAGAGCAGGGCCAATCAGGGGGTTGGGGAGCTCCCCCCTATCAGGCACAGAGCAGGGCTGATCAGGGGCTTGGGGCACCTTCCCCTGTCACGAATAGAGCAGGGCAGATAGGGAGGTTGTGGCCCCGCTCCCTGTCACATACAGAGCCACAGGGCGATCAGGGGGTTTGGGAGGTACCCCCTTTCTCACTGATCCCAGTGCGGGGAGGCCTCGCGGCTCCGCTGATCCCAGTGCTGGGAGGCATATTACCCTTTTACTATATAGGATAGAGGCCTGCACGGGTGGGACCCGTCTGGTTTGCCCTGAAGGGTGTCCTGGGTCAGGGTGGGGGTCCCACTTGGGTGCCTGGCCAGCCTGGGTGAGGGGCTGATGGCTGTTTTCAGCTGGTCACATCCCCTTCAGGGTGAGAGTCCCCACTGGGGTGCCTGGCCAGTCTGTGTTAGGGGCTGAGGGCTGTTTTCAGGCTGGCGAGTGACTGAAGCTCCCAACCGCTCCTTTTTTTCTTTTTTCTTTTTTTTATTCTGGGCCATCTTTAGCTCTGAGGCTTGATTCCAGCTATGAGGCGTCAGCTGCTGAAAGCAGGTATCTGGTTTATTGGGTTCTATAATCGAAACACTATTTCAACTCCAGCTCTGAGATCCCAGCTGGCTGAAAGTAGGTTTCTGGAGTTTGTTTAGCTTCTATATTTTGAACAATGTTTCAAACTGCAAGCGCAGAGGCTGGCAGTGGCAGGTGGGGAACATTGGCTTCCTCCGTCACTGAAGCAAGCAAGCCTCATGTTCGCTTCACCTGCCTGCCTGCCAGCCGCCATCTTGGCTGGCAGTTAAATTGCATATCGCCGTGATTAGCCAATGGGAAGGGTAGCGGAGGTATGGCTAATTACCATGTTTCTCTTTTATTAGATAGGATATCCTGAACAGTTAAATCCATATATAAAGAAAGCTGACTGATAAGTGGTTGCTAGGAGTTTAGGATAGGGAAAATTAAGATGTGATTTCTTAATTGATATAGGGTTTTATTTTTTAGTGATGAAAATATCTTGAAACTAGATATGTGCACATACATTATAATCATATTAAATGACACTGAATTGTTAACTTTAAAATTGTTAATTTTAAGTTATATGAATGTTTCCCTAAGTCAGTGGTCGGCAAACTCATTAGTCAACAGAGCCAAATATCAACAGTACTTCTTCAAAATAGACTCGCCGAGGCTGAAAACCGACTTCTGCGCACAGGCCATGAAATTTCAATCACACTGTACGTGTGCGCCTGCACGTGGTATTTTGTGGAAGAGTCACACTCAAGGGGCCAAAGAGACGCATGGGGCTCGTGAGCTGCAGTTTGCTGACCATTGCCCTAAGTTATGTGAATTCCATCTGAATTACAATTAAAATGTGAAAAATGGCAATGAGTCATTATAAGAACTTGAAAACACTTTGACTTGGTTTATTTTGTGAGATGGATAAAGTTATAGCGTATTTTCAAAGATTATATTTTGCAGCAAATTGTGTATGACTTGAAACTCCAGGGTTTGGAAGCAAAAACGTTTAAAATGCTAGTGTTCAAGAAGTAAGGACATAATGGAATTACGAAAAAATGAGGTCATAACCAATGCATTTTATTAGACTTGATCAGAGCACTTCTTTGTACCATTATCCAGTAATGGTTAGGGAGCATGGAGGTTTAAAATGCAGATGTTATCCTACTGTAAGTACATTGGTCTAGCAATTGAAAATAATCAGGTGGTGAGAACACGGGCAAGAGCAATACTTAATGCTCTTCTCACTAGGATCTAAGAAACTATCACATATTAATTTAGTTGGGAAGAATTTTTGCAGAGACTTTTAGGTTGCTTTATTCTCCAATCAAATTCACTATGTACTGCCTGACTAAAGAAGGGTTATAGTCCTCATAATTTTTAATGTATGGGATGTCAGTGTCTTATCCATAGATAGGTGCATTTACATATGTATAAGGCTTTAAGGTAGATTATGAAATGGCTAACATTTCAGTATAGCTGGTATACAGATGAAAATGATTATCTGCACCTGACCTTTTGATTTTATTTTGTGAAATAAGAACTATGACCTTTCACAATAACAGCAGCATTAGAACTCACCATAAGAAAAAAATTCCATGGTTGGGACACACCATATTGTCCTGGAAAGACAGCTTCTACATACCATGTCACAAGGCCATACAAGAAAGCATCAAGTAAAAGCATCCCCATCATATAGCCAAATATGAGGTTATCCTCAAGGCTGGCCGGTGTCCAAAGGTTATTCCAGTTAAGACCAATTCCTGAAATAAAAAAGAGATATTTACCATAAATGAAAGCTCTGTGATTAAAACAGCAAAGAAAAAAGATAATTGATAATCTAAATTTTGCCACTCTGAATTATCTATATGTTGATACCCTTAGTATGTAGCTCATCTAAGAAAATAATGGAATATGTAATAACATTGGTTTCATCCCTCCTCCCTTCAAAACCTACAAAAAATAGAAATTATTGCAACAGTACCAACAACTGAAATAATAAAGAACAAAAATGTCAAGAAAAAAAGCAGATCTACAAGATCCTATCCTTCTACTTTTCCCCTCATGCTAAACTCCCACTTAAATAACCATAAGGATATAAAACTTGGAAAAATATTCAGCAGCACTAGAGATGAATGCTGACTACCAATCAGAAGAGAAAAAGTAGTTTTTCTTATCTATAGTGCTGATGAAAAGGGAAAAAGGAAGCCACTGAAAGAAGACAAGTAATCCTTTCTTCTGCTAATTCCCCTATTTCTAGACAAAGTGTGCTGCAACTAAAAAAGCATGAGGGTTTGCAGTAAACTCCTAATTCAAAGAGGCAAGATATGCAGATGACAATGACCCATGTAATTTGTCCTTCCTTCAACATGAGCCCTCCCTTTCGTATAGACCAGCAACATCAGCTGAATATTCATGAAAACCGTCTTTCAGAAAGCTATGATTGTCAAAATGAAAGCCATTTTGAGGCAAGGAATACTAAATTAGAAACCACAGAAAAAAACAAAGGTATAACATAAATTTTCAGAAAGTCTACCATAACTTGAGAAATTCTACACTCAAGCACAATAGGAGTTCCTGAAAGAGAAAATAAATAGTATAGAAAAGAAACAATCTACACTAATAAAAGAGAAACATGGTAATTGGTGTACGACCGCTACCCTTTTCATGGGCTAATCAGGGCAATATGCAAATTAACTGCCAACTAAGATGGCGGTTAATTTGCATATGTAGGCACAATGCAGGGAGGTGAAAGGGAAAGCAGGAAGGAGCCCCCTGCCACTGACAGTGATCGGAAACCCAGGGGGGAGCTAAAAGCCAGGGGGCAGGGCAAAGGCGGCTCTGGGGGCTGCTTTTGCTCTGCCACCCAGCCATGATTGGAGAATTGGGCGCCTTTGTCGCCCTGGCCAGTGATAGCAGGAAGTAGGGGTGGAGCCAGTGATGGGAGCTTGGCAGGGTTGAAGCTGGCAGTCCCGGGAGCTAGGGGTCCCTTGCCTGGGCCTAAAGCAGAGCCCGCGATCGCGGGGCCACTGCAGCTACGGGTCCCCGCTGCCCGGGCCAGACGCCTCAGCCAGAGGTGTCCTGCGGGGACAGGGGTGGAGAGGCGTTAGGCCTGGGCAGGGGCAGAGCGGGAGATTGTGGGGAGCTGGTGGTCCCTGCTGCCCAGGCCTAATGCCTCGGCCAGAGGCGTTAGGCCTGGGCAGGGGCAGAGCCTGTAACAGCAGGGAGCTGGGGGTCCCCTGCCCAGGCCTGACACCCCTGCCGGAGGCCTCAGGCCTGGGCAAGGGGCCGATCCAGTGATCGGCAATCGGAGGGGGG